CTGTAAGGGAGTCCAGAGAGTGAGACAGGGCAGTTCTCTGTAAGGGAGTCCAGAGAGTGAGACAGGGCAGTTCTCTGTAAGGGAGTCCAGAGAGTAAGACAGGGCAGCTCTCTGTAAGGGAGTCCAGAGAGTAAGACAGGGCAGCTCTCTGTAAGGAAGTCCAGAGAGTGAGACAGTACAGAGTTATTACAGAGTGACATCACTCTATAGGGAGGCTGAATTACTCTTCTCCCACCTCAGTGACAGAAGACTGGTCTCCGTTGCTGGTGGATTTCGTGACCAGTCGTGCTGCAAACAGTTTTTTCAGCCTCAGATAGTCGTCCAGAACCACTTTCAGCAGAGAGCCCTGGCAGGACAGCCAGCACATTAACACTGAGAGACAAACAGGCTGGCACTGCTCTCACAGTGGCCCGGAGAACTGCACAGACTGGACACTGCACGACACTGGTAAGCCTCAGCCACCTGCCAGCCTGCAGCCACACTCGTTGCTTACGTGCTTCAGGGTGAAATTCTCATCAACTCAAAAATACATATTTTTGAAAATGCTGTGTTAGAAATGGCTCACAAGTCACTCTTGTTTCATTTTTAACAATTCCAGGCAACTATTAAGAGACTTTCCAAATAATAATCTATAGACTTTATTATTATTTTAAAAGAGTGGCTTTTGCCAGGCTTGCCGCAGCAGGTATGCTCACCTTGATGGGCCCCTCTCTCATGATCTGGCCTAGCTTGGCAATGTTGTCGTACTCCTGGATGGCAGCTCGCAGGTAGCGGTCATCTTCAGGCTTGGAGGCCTGTGGCTCTCGGCCAAATGTCCCCTGGAGTGGGTTAGGGACAAATACAAGTGAGAGAGGCAATTAACCACACATCATCCTAGTAATTGAAAGAGGAGGGGTGCTAAATCCATCGACACGCATTCACAGTCTGGCCTGGATGAACTCCCCCCTGTAGTGTAATTGGCTCGGTATTTATGTTCTCCTGTGGGGCAATAAGCTGCTTGTCAATTGCAGCCCCAGGGGGTGATGGGATTCTTCACCTTGTGAGTAAAACCCAGTTACCAAGCTGATACAGTCATGATTTCAAGATAGAAACACTCTTCATGATCCAGAGTTTCTGCCCTGTATCTTGATAGTGATGTGTGGGGAAAGAATGACAACTTGGTAAACTGTGCCGCCAGAACAGAACAAAGCATCTCACGTGTGTCCTGGCAGGGCTGTTCCAAAGGTCAGTGATGTCACTCAGGTTCTCAGGCAGGTCGTCCTGGTGCTCTGCCTGCGCTGCCAGCTCCAGATTTCGGCAAAATGGGTCCAGCCACACTGGGTTCGCCCTGACACAAAACAACACCATCTCACACGTGCTTATCCCACCAGAACACATAGCTTCAAACACACAGTGTCCCCGCAGCGCAGTCGTTTAAAAATCAGGTGCATCTGCCCAGTCCTGTGAGTCAAGTTTTTCACTAACAGAGAAGTTTTGACTTCTGTGTTAGTGTAAAACTGTCTGGGCTGCCTCACAGTTGCTGTCACCTTAAGAGTGCTAACCTACCCTTCAAAGGAGTACTTGTTGGTGTTGGGCATGTCCAGGATGTCCATGAAGCCCTGGTTACCTGGGGACAAAAAGAAAGGAGAGGACAGAGGAGAAGAGGAAAGGAGCAGAAGGAATGGTAAAAAAACAGGGGAGGGGAAGGGAGTGGAGACGGAGCCGAGAGGGGGAGAGGAGGTGAGAGGTGGGGGAGGTGGTAGGAGAGGAGGAGAGGACATGTCAGAGGAAGTGAGAAGACGTGGGAGGAGGTGAGAGGAGGCAGAGGAAAGGTGGTGGAGAAATGGAGTGGGAGTCAGTGAGTATTTGCTTCGACACTGAAACTCAGATGCTGTCATGACAAACTATACTCTGATGTTCTGATTCATCTTCATACTTGGCAGTAAGTCAACTGTGCTTGTTTCCGGATCAGAGCTTCACAGCTCTAACAGAGACTGTAACTCTTCACCTACCTGTCGATCCTGCTACTATGGCCTTCAGCTTTCTCTTGTGTCTGCAGAGTAAGACACAGATACATTATGGTTAGGTTGCTTAACTAAGCATTGCATAGGACTGTGTTTGCGTGTTTCTGCTGCAAAGAAGAAATAAAATCAAAAACACACACTGTGATTAAAGGTCATGCTGTTCAATAGGAGCTGAATGTACTTCCCTTTATGGATGTTGAGCAACTGAGCTACTGGAATAGTCCAAAAGTAATATAGCTATAATTACGCAATCAGTATTTTAATCTACATCTAGTGATTGAATGTGATAAGAACCATTGCTACCCCCAAAAAAATTGCAGGTTCTACAGTGTGGTAGTGTCTTTGTAAAACACAACCTCCTTTTTTCTGCCATGCTTTGTTTATTGCAATTCTTTTGACAAAGGAGAAAATAAAAGGGTAGGAGTAATAGGGGTAGCTGGATGTTTCAGATTATGAAGCCCTGTGCAACATTTGCTGTAATATGTTCAGTTCAGCACACTATGCACTAGCACCTGTAATAAAATTAGCTATGACTTACACAGTCCTGTAGTACCAGTTCATGAAGATGAACAGCATGGCAGCAAGGAAGAGCAGCACAGCCAGGATGATGATGGCCATCTGTCAAAAGGGAACAGACAGTGATGCTCATGCCCTGGCTGATCACAGGTCAGCTTCTGGAACCTCCAGCCCCGGAGCAATAACAGATTATAAGTACTTTTAAAATCAGCATCTCTGAGGGGAAAAACCTGAAGATTGTGTCAGATAAGTAAACATCATCAAGACCATATGCAGAAACATAATAGTTTCATATACATGCCAATATTATTACTAGTCTTAAGAGGACTTCCAACTCTTTACCTGAATTTACTACCTGCACAGAATTCAACACTTTCTACATTTGACATCAATGTACTACACATTCATACACTATTCTGTGCTCCTGTTTTCACCATTCTTTCATTCTTTTTTGGTACACTACAAGTTCTTTTGAACAGTGCAGAATGTACCCAAATAAACCACAGAGCTAACTACTGTGAAAGCACAGCAACACAGCATAGAATGTATTGAAAACCAGTGCAGGAGTGCAGCATTGTCTCCTACACTTAATTCCTGTATCAACAGCCAACCAAAGGAGGCAAATTGAAACCAAGAGGAAGCGCATTCACAACTGAGAACAGAAGAATTTTGTGTGAGCTGTGAGATGCTGCCCAGCCACATTATTGAAGTTGATAACCTGCTTTTATCATGACGAGATCCCTAGATCAATTAGCAACTGGCAAGCAAACAGGGATGATTGGCCTCTTCTTGCTTGTAACTTTCCTTTTGTTTTTGCAATAACACATTTCACAAAGGTTTCACTGAGTCCTGACAATATGCACAAAGCTCCACAGACACCCTGGGTCACCTGCAGAGTGGTGAGGTCATCAGGTGCCCTGCCAGTCACAGCGGGCTGCACGTCCAGCACATTGTAATTCCGGAACAGATTTCGCAGCTGCTCCTTGTTCTCATCAATCATCTGGATCACCCTGACAATCAGCAGAAGTGGTGGGGATGAGGGAAGGAGCCAAACCAGCCAAGACGGTAACATCAGCAGACCCCCTGAGATTAAGGGCTGCCTTTGAAAGGTGTTCTTGTTACTGTATGTGATTACATGTATCTATTTCAGCCGAGGAAAAATTGTTCTAGAGAACAGTGACCTCTCACCTCTCCACATCAAGGATCCGGTTGGTCTGTTTGTTAACAACATGGATAAGAACATCAGTCTGTGCAAAGTTCACACGGCCCTTCTTATCCACATGGAACTGCAGAGAAAGGGAGACAGAGAAGGAGGAGGAGGGTAAGAGGGAGGTAGGGGAGTTATGGGAGTAAAAAAAAAGAGAAGGTGATTGAATCATTGTTTCATTCGCTCTGTGGATAGAGATAGACAATATGAAACCCCAGGCTATTTGACGAATGGAGACAGAACAATTTGTAAGTCAACAGTGTAGTCTGTAACCCGAGTGATGATGGATAATGAGTAAGAAAGGAAATGTGTTGAAGAGTGAGAATGAGGGTGTGAAATCAACAGCAAGAGAGAAGTCAGTGAGACTGGTTGTACACAGACCTGCACATCATCCGTATTGACAATAGCCCCGGTAATGTTGGACAGCAGGCTGACAAATTCCTCCTGGAACTGCCGCACGCGGTCTGGAATCTCATTGATGACAATCTTGACGCGCTGGTCATCCCTCAGGATGTAGATACCAATAGTGGCGATGTCAGTGTGGCCTGCCAGGTCACTGGCCAGAACGTCCACCACAAAATACCCAGGACTGTACGCCGTAAACAGGTCAAAGGTCCGAATGATACCATCTGTCTCACCTGAGAGAGGCGGAGAGCAGCAGTGAGACAGAGAGACTTAGGGAAGGAAATCCTGCACAAGGGGAAACTATTTTCTGACATCTGCTCATTCTCCATAAAGTAAGCCTGTGCTATTAGCAATCAAAGCAGGACCTCTTGAAATCCATGGAGGACAGAAAAGAGGAGGAAAGAGCCAAAAAGTGGACATGCAGGAGGAGACTGAAGAATAGTAGGGAGGCCAAGAGGAGCAGAAAGTGCAGGTGGAGGAGAGTTAGACTGACATAGATAGAACGTCCACTCACCAATAATGAAGACATTGCCAACATCATGGGAGTCGTTGGACTGCAGTTTGACGTAGCGGATGGACAGGATGTGGTACAGCACCAGGCTATTATTCCCAATGTCATTGTCCACTGCCTGCACCCGGATAAGGTCAGAACCCACTTTCGCGTCCGCTGCCACACCTATAAGACAGACACAGTAACCCCATAACAGATCCTTCCACAAAGTGACATGAGAATACATTATACAGTAGGGGGAGATACTGGGAACATAATATGACAAATAGCTGGCAGACTCATAGTGAGACAGAAGAAGAGACCAAGAAAAAGTAAGTCACAGAGACGCAATGTGCAAAACAATCTGGGTCATTGAATGTTTTCTGCTTATGAAGCAGAAAAGGATATAATTTGAATTGTATTTTTTTTTCTCATTATGTTTGTCTATACAAGACACTCAAGATAAGTCAGTGTAGACACAGAGACACTGCACAGTGAGCTATCCTCTTTACCTGCAGTATACTCTGGCTTGGTAAAGCGGGGAGGCTGGTCATTGATGTCTTCTAGGTAAACTCTGACCTCCTGCAGTGTGGGGTCAAGGTTGGGGTTGAGCGCACGTGCACGGGATGACCTCTGACCCTGGGAAGGCATCCAGTTTCGGTTACTGGAGGCCTTGACGATAATGGGGTACACAGGTGTCTCCTCACGGTCTAGATCCTGAGTCACACGCAGTACTCCCTCTGGGCTCAGCTGAAATATACCTTTATTGTTGCCCCCTGTTAGATAGAACCAGAACTGTTGGCATAGCCACACACTACTTGATTCACTTCATTAATGTATTTCTGCTGTTAACCCCTCTCTACTTCTTGCTCCTTTTTTGGTCTATCTTCTCCTTTCCTATTTGTCCATCCCTTTCCTCCTCAATCTCTTTCTCTTTTCCTTTCTTTAATTTGTGTAATTAATTAGTGCTGAAGCCAATGTTAAGTGCATTACCCATTAACACTCTTTTCTGCTCACCCTCTCTGTCTTTCAACCTTTGATCCTTTGTCCCTTAACTTCCCATTCATGCTTTTCTCGTTGATCCCTCCTGCCTTCTACCCTCTTCCTCTTCCTCTCTCTTACTGACCTGCAATGAAGTAGTAGACCACAGCATTTGAACCCTCGTCAGCATCCACCGCACCTGTGACGTTCCCCACCACCGTGCCAGGAAGAGAGTGCTCTGGCACCCACAGTGACTGATATGGCAAGCTGCCCCTCTGGCAGGAAGACACAGACACTGTTAGACAGAATAATCTACTGACCACTCAAGAATCAATGATAAACTGTGAGTTGTTCTGCACCACTCTGTAAGCTGTATATTATTAGGTAAGGGTAATAGTTATGCTGGGCTTAAGATGCTGTCTCACCGGCGGCTTGAGGAAGACTGGTTCATTGTCATCGATGTCAGATAGCGCCACCTGCAGGGGCTGCGTGGTCTCGTATGGTACTGGTTGGCCCAGGTCATAGGCCACGACGATAAGCTGGAGAAAAACAGACACTGAGTCTGACACAGAGAAACTGACACCCACAGATATTCTGTGACTTACTCGGACTTGTCGTTAATCACACAGTGACACTGGAATTTAGTATGGAAAGAAGACTGAGACCCCAGTAACCAAGTGACAGAGACATTGAACGACTGTATTCACCTAATATCTGTGCAGGAAGTCAAACTGTGTCTCAAACAAAATTCACTTTTTTACAGCTCATACCTTTGCAAATTTAAATTGAGTCAATGTTTTCTGTATGTGGAGGGATGTCGCCAGGCAGAAAAGACGATGTGCATAGACAGACAAGAAGACACAGATAGATAAGGAAACAAAGAGGCTGGAAGACAGGCAGAGCCGTGGACTTACGCTATGCAGGGCTTGTTTCTCTCGGTCCAGTCTGACTGCAGTAGTGATGACCCCTGTCTCTGCGTCTATGTGGAAGTTCTCCCAGTCTCGATTCCCTGCGCCTGTCTGCAGGAAGCTGTAGCGTACCTCTCCGTTCACGCCCTCATCACTGTCTGTTGCAAACACCTCATACACTACCAACCCTGGAGGCTGTTCCTGGGGGGTCACAGAAACACACAGGCAGAGAGCTGCTGCAGTCAGGCAGTGAGACAGTCTCACACACACAAAGACACAGAAGGGGGGGTGTCCTCACCTCTAGGATGTGCATGATGGTCCCATTGGGTGGCCGGACGAAGACAGGGCGGTTGTCATTGACGTCAATGACGGATATGTGCAATGCAGTTGTACCCCAGAGTGGTGGGCGGCCACGGTCTGTGGCTACCACAGTCAAGTTGAACCTCTCAAAGGACTGGAGTAGCCGCTTGGAGCGTACCAGTCCAGAATCCAGCTCCATAGAGAACGCCTCTGCATAAATAGGACATTGAGTAACAGGCACCTGGATTAAACTGCAAAGCAATTCAGCTTCAATAATATATATTTGTGCCACAGTGAGGCAGTAAACTACAGTACTAAGGTTGCTGCAATCTTGAGGTACAGGTTGCCCATGACACTGGAATAACAGTCAGACACACAGATATGTAGATTGGCAGGGGCACAGCTAAGGTGGCCGACAGACAGGTAGGTAGATACCTGCTCCAGGTCCTTGAAGCGTGTAGCTCAATATGCCATTCTCTCCCTCATCAAGGTCAGTGGCAGACATAGTGATGATGGAGGTGCCTCCTGGCTCGTTCTCGAACACGCTGGTGCTATACACACGCTCTGCAAAACGTGGACGGAAATCATTCACGTCTAGCACCGTGACCAGCACCTGCAACACACACATCCTGGGGTGAGACCCAAAATATTACACTTCTCCGAGTGCCTCCGTGCTAAACTCACACAATAGTGACCAAGATCCTACCTGCAGGTTGGAATTTTGTAAATGTAAGACCCCATTAGTGATAACCTTAAGCATGTAGGCCTAACCTTAAAAACTCTAACTTAACTGAATGCATATTCACCTAGCAATTTGTGAAACATTTTAGAAAATCGCAGACAGATGGGCTGCAGGACAGTGAAATTAAGGAACACCAGGTCCTTGGATCACTATTTCATCCAGTGCTACTGGAAGATTCACACTATAAGCTGGTATCTTGCTTGTATAAATGGCAACAGTACCTTCATGTTCCTAACCTCAAGACTTCAGTTTATAATGTGTGATATGAAGGTTTCATCTTCTTTAATTTTGCTGTTCTGCAGCCCTTTTGTGTGCAATGTGCCAAATGGGTACTCATTCTATAAAGTTTTATTTAGGATAGCCTAAAAGCTTAGGATTGTCATTTACAACCTATTCACAAAAAAGGAGGAGAATGCTAAACCATTTAAATACAGATAATGGACACATCATCTTTATTTCTATTACATGAAAAGGTAGGAAAACATTAGAAAATGATCTATATGGAAATATGCCTTCTTTAAATAACTTTTTTTTATACTAGCAGTGGATAAGAATAGCTAACTTGAGAGAATATTGTTAAGAGTACAAGAGTATCTACAGTATATTCAGGTTCTGAGAAGACTCTTGATGAAACAAAACAGCAATTGCCATATGGAAATCTGCATAAACAAGATAAAGCATGTATGAGGAGGAATGGGAAATGTGCTCAAAACCGAATTACTGATAAGAGCACAAACCTCAAAGTGTGGTTAAGCAAGTAGTAGCACCGACCACAGGGGTCTTTATTAAAAGTGCTGCACTTCCTGATTCACAGTGAATGGAAGTAAAAATTGATATCTTGTGAATTTAGAAATGAAAATAAGAGGCACTTCCTTTTAGAAAAGATCTTGTGTTTCTGGACCAAGCTATCTGGTCATGGTATTGAAACTGACACTGAAATTGATCCAAGAAATGCGCCTTCCTTGGGCTCTTGCATATGTGTCAGTGTGTGACTGTGTGTTTATGGCACTTGTGTGTTCAGCAGGGTGTCGGACCTGGACAGAATTCTCACGGCGGTTGTTGGTGCTGCCTCCAGGGTTGTCCCGGGCTACTGCGGTCAGAGTGTAATGGTCCTTTGTCTCCCGGTCCAGAGGGGACAGGACATAGATATCTCCCTAAAGTACAAAGACAAGAAAGTACTGCACAGCCTTTACGGGCATGTATTATGTACAATCATGGCATGATCATAGCCGAATTTAGCAAAGCCTTTGGAGAGCGTAGTGACAGCAACGAGGCAAAATGTCAATGGAAACAATGCCAAAAGCACAAGATTGCTACACAAACAGAATATAGTAAATGTTGAAAAGGACTGTCAGTGTGGTCTCACCGTGGAGGGGTTGATCCCAAAGCGCCCTTCGCCATCCACCAGCCTGTACTCGATCACAGCAAACAGTCCCGAGTCAGCGTCTGTCGCACTGACACGTATAATCACGGTCCCCAGTGCCACATCCTCGAACACCGGCTTCTATGGACAGGCACACAGAGACCCAGGTCAAGAGGGCTTAGCACACATCCCCACACTCACAGACTGTACAACAACCACAACATGTTCGCTCCCCAAAGACAAGGAAATCCCTTGCATGAAATTGGGAAAAAAAGTTGTGTGTTTTTTGGAATTTTGGTCAGGCTATGACAGTGCTGAGGGAAATGGTTTAATGTGTATATTTAAATTAAATTTGATTACCGTGTATGAATCCAAAAATCATACAATGAATGGTATGTGAAAGCTTCTTCCCTGATATAGATTAGTCCAGCTCACTAGCTGTTGATGTTCCATTTAGTGATGGAGCTGGATACTTCACACTGAAGTGGTGTCTCCAGAGAGGATTGTGTTTGTCTTAGGGAAGGGCAAGGAAGGGGGAGACAGGGAATGGGCTGCAGGGGTTGAACTGAGACTCAGCCAAAAGATCAAAGGAAGGACAGCAGAGTTCAAGTAGAAGAGTACCTGATACGAAGGCTGGCTGAAGACAGGGTTGTTGTCATTGATGTCCATGATGCGCAGGAAGACAGGCAGCTCAGCAAAGCGTGGAGGGGCGCCCTGATCCTGAGCCCGCACTGTGAAGTTCAGCCACTGCACCTGCTCAAAGTCCACGGTGCGATTTGCAATGATCTTACCTGCAGGACACACACAGGTTCACTTTGTGACCTACAGTAGTGTGGCATATGCTTCAGCACTGTCAGATCATTTCAGCCCAGTGGAAAACTAACATTAAAATCATTTCCCGTCTATGGTCATGATTAAGGTCAAGTCATGTCATGTTGAAGTTTAGAAGTTAAAGTTTAGACTCTTAGCTTTAACGTTAGGGTTTGAGACGGATGTTGTGGTTTCAGGAGTTAATGTTAGAGTTAAAGCCAAAAAGAGGGTTAGATCTAGAGAAGGAATGTGGGTGAGGTTAGGGGCTGGGGCTAGGGTTGAATTATAAGAGTTTAGGAAGGTTGCAGAAGAAGCATCACTTAGAGTACAGGGGCAGAGTGAAGTGTGCATGTGGGCGGCCTGACCTGCAGAGGGGTCCTCGAGACGCACGTAACCCCCATGGGGCAGGTGCAGAAGCTGGTAGGTGACCTGGCCATTGGGGCCTTTGTCTGGGTCCACAGCAGTGACAGACAGCAGTGTGGTGCCGGGCTGGGCTCCCTCCAGGATCTGCTCGGAGAAGTTGGACACACCGAAGGGCCTGAACCGGGGTGCATTGTCATTGACATCCAGGACGTTGACTGTGAGCTTTGCTGCAGGCAGAGAAAGAAAGAGAGGATGGTTGAGAGCAAAATGGTGAGGGTGGGAAAGGAGAGAGGGAGGAGGGAGGGAGTCAGAAGGAGACAGAGAAAAATGAAGAGGGGAGCTCAGGAAGAAGGGTTTTCTGAAGTCTGTGATGGGGGTGAGTTGGCATTAAGGAGTACTTAGAAACAGAGGGTGCAGTTATTGAGAGGGAGGGTCAGCAGTGGCTCACCATTGGGCATACTGACTGACTGGTCAATAACGTCACTGGCGTTGTCATGCACAGAGATGGTAATCTCGAAACTGGCCACCAGCTCGCGGTTCAAAGGGCTTCTTACAAACACTGCACCTGAAAGACAACATGCCAGTCACACACTGGAGCACACTAATAACACATGGTAAACAGGAAAGACACATCACATGCATACACCATGGAATCAAAATACCATGCTACACCTACTATACTGTACTATTTATACTGTATTATTTCCACTGTTCTAGATTCTATTTTGACGACTGTACTGCATTTTGCACCACTATGCTCCATTGTCCAGTATGCTCCAGTACTGCATTAAATTCCCAGGGGCTGACCAGTATGGAAGTCAATGCCAAAGGCGTCCTGCAGGCCACTGACAGGGGTGTTGCTGTCGTCTCGTGCCTCCACTGCAATGATGTAATACTCCAGCCGGGTTCGGAGGTCAGGGTCTTCTGCTCTCACAGTGGCAATGACGGTGCCGAGATTTGTGGACTCGTTAACATTGACAGTCTGAACTGGGATCAGGAACCGCGGGCGCGAGTCGTTCACGTCATCCAGCAGGACAGACAGCGTGGCAGTGCCTGAGAGGGGGGGCGTGCCGCGGTCAGCAGCCACGACCACCAGTCGATACGAACTACGCTCCTCCCGGTCTAGCGTGGCATTGCCCACCAGCACAGCGCCCGTGAGGACGTCGATCACAAACCGGTCCTGAGCTCCACTCTCGATACGGTACGACAGCCAGCCATTAGCTCCTGAGTCGAGATCAGCTGCTGAGAGTTGAGTGACCACCACCCCTGCAGGATGAGCAGAGGGACAGAAGGAATGGGGGAGATACAGAGAGGAGGAGAAGCAGAGAGAGGAAGGTGGGTCGGAGGAAGGGTTAGGATGAGAAAGAGAGAGGGAAAGAGTGTGGACGTGAATGAGGAGGAGGAGGAATGAAGAATGGAGGGGGACAGAAAGAAGGATTAATGTCGAGGGAACAGACTATACAACTATTCCCACAGGTTGCATATCAAGTACATCAATAAAACCAATATGACAGAACAGTGAGTGGACAATTCACACTGAGAATACAATACACATTCTGGTATTCTGCATGATGACCCCTTCCCCTCTCCTTCTCCACAGCTGCCTGTGCTCACCAGCTGGGCTGTTCTCGGGCAAGTGCACGGTCAGGTCTGGGGGTCTGAACTGGGGAGGGTTATCGTTCTGGTCCAGGACAGTGACTGTTAGGGGAACACTGGTGTTCAGCCCCCCCACATCCTCGCCCACCAACATCAGCTCAAGCCGGGGGTCCAACAGGGCTTCGCGGTCCAACACTGCCCCGTGCCGTACCATCACAGCACCTAAAGAGGGACAACACATTTCCACAGTTCTGTAAGTGCTTTACGGTTACATCTGATGTCAATGTCACAGATAGGTCAAAAATTGTGGTGTTGCAAATAGTTTAGCAACAGCACAGGCTAGAAAAGAGGACCTGGACAAACTAACTTAGGACTGTCAAGATAAAATGTAATATGGCTTAAATGCAAGTGAAAACATGGAGGAAGTGAGAACTTTAATTTCAAATGTCAAACGGATAGTACAGTATCAAACAGGAAGATGCAATACATGAGCAAGATCCCAGATATTACGTATACTAGCTTTCTTCAGCTAGATGATGTGGAGAAGAAATAAAAATGTTATGAAACCGCTTGGATGTATTATTTAGAATTCTAAAAAAGGGAAATTGTGTAAAAAATATGCACTGCACAAGTTAGACTTCCCTGGGAACACTGTGTGGTGATTTGGTCAACATGCTACAGAATATTGCTGCTCTAGGTGAGATAGAATACCTCATCTTATTCCGAGTGTGAAGGGAATGTCACATTCAGACAAACTAAGAGGTATAAATCTCAACAGAGAAAATTAAATAGAAGCTTCATCCGGGTATCGAAACTCCCAAAAGTCCTTGACCTTAGGGGGTTTCTTTAAGATCAGCAACAATACAAGTACAAAGGAACACAATTAGAGTTGGGCCATTTAAGGTCAAAAGTAAGATATTTGTCTCGTCTTTGTAAGTAATAATAAATATGATGCTTTGCCACTGTGGCACATGAGCAGTAAAAGCTCCTGTGCAGTGTGAATGAATGGCAAAAACCACTTTGTTAGTTGTCAGCAGAGTGGCTGTACTGTCGTCTTGACCTTGAGAGCTTCCACTAAGTCTGAGGTGAATTGTGAATTGGCAGCAGCTAATAGCATTGATTACTTGTTGACACATTCATTCTAGAGGTTAAGGTTCTGGATTAAGGTTGTGGGCACAAATCACGTTTTGGACTACACTTGGTTATGTAGTATATAAATTGTCGAATAAATAGCCTGTGGGGTTTTTGGCAAATTTTCCCTCCTAATGTGATTAACCATGGTTTAAAAGGATTTAAAATATGTTTATGTTTCTGAGAATTAAGTTTCATATGCAACAGGGTGCTGATTTACCTAATAAAAATAATTGTGTTTTAATGGTGTGTAGGTTGGTGCAGGTTTGAGTTTGTCACATACTGAAAAACTAAAGCAAAACAAACTCAAAAACACTACATTTAACACATTACAATTTTGATAAGCAAAATGTTTTTGCTACTTCTCCCCATCTGTATCAGATTATCAACCAAAGTCCAGGAAATGTGATTGAGCTTGACTGTGAGATCCTTTAAGTAAGAAACAGAATCTTAATAACATTATGCTACTAGAAAATGTGCAAGATGGGTCAAATGGCCTCCTTTGTTTATAACCTTTCTTATGTTCTTATGAGCTAAGAATTAAAAACAGAGAATGCCTTTAATCGTATTAGCATTGCATAACACAGCATGCACATGAATGTGTATGTCAGCACCATACAGTACATGTGCGAGACAGAAGGAGGGTTACAGCCTGACCTGTGCTGGAGTCGACTGTGAACAGGTCCAGTCTTTGGCCCAGAAGGCGGTACGTCACAACAGCATTGACTCCCACATCCTTGTCCACTGCCAGGACTGGTCCATTCAGAATCGACACCACACTGCCTGAGAGGGGGAGAAGGAGAGGGAGGGAGAAGAGATTGGAAGGGAGTGTACACTGGGGCATGGAGATGACAGAGAGAAAGCAGGAGAGAGATAGTAGCAGAAAGACACATGGAGAGAGACCGTGGCAATTGCAGATTATCATTCAGATCCAACTGACAGATGGACAAAGTTACAGACAGACATTTAAGTACTAATCAGACAGGCAGGAGCTATGAATAGAGAGATAGATTGACACGAGACAGGAAGACAATGAGAAAGAAAGACAGACAGTGAGACAGGGGAGGCATGTGGTACCTGGGAGGGAATTCTCCAGAATTTCTCCCCGGTAGCTTGATTGTGTGAATATTGGTCGGTTATCATTCTCATCCAAGATGGACACCACCAGTACGTCAGAATCCTGCACAGAAATATCAGAGAGTGAACATTGCTCTTTAACTTCAGTCCTCAAGCAGGTTTTAAACATTCCCTGCCTCAGACCTGAGAGAAGAGTTTAGCTAAGTGACTAATTAGTTTCAGTACAAAATTAAGAGCTCAAGGGCAAGGAAAATGTGAACCTATGGCTATCAAGGACTGGATTTGAAGTACCTTTTAATATTGAATATATGATAAGTGCATACATATTGAATATATGGTAAGTGCATTTGTGTGTGTCCTTTGTCTGCATTGAGCATGGCGAGAGAAGGCTAAAATCCCTTTCTGATTACCACTTACTGATTGCTGTTAATATACCGATGCAATCTTTAGCGTGATTTGGGGTTTGCCATGATTTCAAAAGGTAGAACAATTCCTGTTAATTGCAATGTTGTTTAAATGGCACTTCTTCTGAAACTGCCTCACTTGTGGAGATAAGGACGCTACACAAGAGAAACAGAGTGAAAAGAATGACTGCTGTGGTGCTGTTTGTTCCTTTTACAGAGCTAATCTGAGCCAAAAACAAAGTTTAAGACACTTCAAGAAGGATTAACAATTTCTCCTTTTTCCTGACACTAATTTCTTTTTTAATCACATTAAAGGCTGGCCTTTAAAGGTTACATTCAAGTTGCTCAGATACTTCACTGCCATCTAAAGAAAACTGCTGGTGGTTCAAATGTTACTAGTTCTGGTAAAGCCCTCTTTTTCACTTCATACAAAACTGTTTTGCTGCAAAACGTGGGGTGCAGGCAGAGTGTGTGTGTACCCTGCGCGCAATGCGGGGGTTGTCGGGGTTGTCCTTGACAGTGATGGTCAGCCTGTACTCTGACACTCTCTCCCGGTCCAGCGGCCGGTTCACCAGCACCACCCCTGTCTGAGAGAGAGAGAAAGATAGAGGGAACGTTACCACTGGCAGACTAGACATGGAGAGACACTAGTGAAAAAGAGGGAGGGAGGGAAGGAGAGCGTTCTCACGGTGTCGTTGATGTAGAAGGCTCCGTCAGTGTTCCCTGCAGTGATGTTGAATGTGAGCAGGGCATTGCGGCCGCTATCGGCATCAAAGGCTTGAACCCGAGCTACAGAGGTGGAGATGCGCGCAGCCTCGCTCACACTGCTGTTCATGGGCAGGTTCAGCAGCACTGGGTCATTGTCATTGATGTCCAGCACTCGCACACTCACCACCACCTGAGGAGAGAGGGGAGGGAAGGAGAGAGGACACCCCATATATTGAAAGAGAGAGAAAGTGGGGACACCAAATACTCCAGAGTCAGGACCACACATCAGATTCTGAGGCCTGATTGAGAATGTTCCACACTGGGGCAGTGTCTGATTCAGCACTCTGTACTCGCATGCATATTCTCCACCCACTAGAATATGAAGACATGCCCCTTTGACATTGAAATATAATTTATGTGAAATTTGAGGTGGGTAGCTGCGTCAGCATGCGTAGGCTGCAAAGGAACAAGTAATAGGTTTATTCCATGCTGAAAAAAAGAAGAAAGAAAACACAACATTTCGGCCGTGGAGCCTTCATCTGGTGTGAGAGAAACAAGGCGCCTTGCCTATGTGAAATGTTAATGCTTTGGCACACTTAAATACATGCCCTAATCTGTCTTGTGTCTTTTAAGGCATGTGTATTACTATACACTGTTGTTAAAGTGAAGGTATGATTAGGCTGGAAAATCTTAGGAAAATCTAGTCAGGAATCAGTCCCTCCCTGACAACAGCGTTGTGTGAAGGGTTTGTAAGGTATCGGCCTGAGAATGATGCAATGTTGTGATTTAAGAGGGTGTTTCTCTCTCCGTGCTTCCTGACACACAGCAAGTCTGTGCAGACTATACAGCCCCAACGCTGTGTCTTTCAGAGTCGCAGGGGAAAAAACAATAAGAAAAGGAAACTCCGCTACAGTGCTTTTAAACACGAGACACAGAGAAGGCCTACTTCGGAGACGGAAAGAGTGAGCTCACAGAAACCCCACAGAAACATACCATCACTGATTTGTGATATCTCAGAGCCAGTTTGTTTGTAAAAAAAGAGCTGAAAGAATGCACCATGAGCAGTCCAGACTATGAGTGAGTCTCATTTTCCAGAGCATACTGCCACACACCCTGCACAGCTGTGTGGAGACCTGGGGTTTTAGAGTGAAGAAATGCAGATGTTCACTGACGAGGGAAAGCGAGAACACAGCAGGAGACAATCCTTGTGAATCCCTGGGACAGGCCATTGTGTACAGTCCTGTACTCCTACACCTTCCGATTGTGAACTTTTGATGACTTTAAAAAAAAAACATAACTTTCTACGTTGTTGAAAGGTTGGGCTTTTTTTATATTCATAGTCTATAGGCTTGTAAGATAAGACATCTGCCCTTTGTTACATACATAGGAAAGGAAAACAAAACTAAAAGGATTCACAGGAAAAACAGACATTCAGTTAAGCAGCCGTGCTGTTGTCTGTGCTCTGCTGTGCTGCGTTTTTGTATCTTGCCTTGTTAGTCCCAGAGCGCTGTGACTTACTGTGCTGCTGCGTGATGGTGTGCCAAGGTCTCGTGCTGTGATGGTGATGTTGTAGAAAGGGATGTTCTCACGGTCCAGCTCTGCATCCCTCCTCACCCTGAGCTCCCCCTCCACTGGGGACACCACAAACTCATCTGACAACACAGAGAGACACTGCATATATAGAGATTGTCACTGTGGAGACACTGAGCCTTGCAGAAACAGTATTGTCAACACTGTTCTGCACACTGACCCTGTATCACTACAAATGTCCTGTAGACTGATCCTACAGCAGTAACCCTGGCTTGCAAACTAACCTTGTATCACTAACAACATCTTAAACGCTGACCCTATATCACTAACAATATCCTGTACACTGGCCCTGCAGCACTAACAATGTCCTGAACACTGAACCTACATCATTAACTGTGTCCTGTACACTGACCCTACCATATTCTTTCTACTTCTCTCTCTCTGTTCATTAGGAACTGCGAGACATATATTCTCAACCCCCATCACAATAAACCTGCCTGTACTCACTCTGTGGGTCTCCGGCTGTGATACTGTACTCCACCTGTCCATTGAGGCCCGAGTCCTCATCTGTAGCCTTCAGAGTCCAGACACGGGGCCCCGGCTGGCCCTCAGTAATCTCAAAAGGCCCCTCGACAGCTCTCGGGAAAGTGGGGGTCACATCATTCACATCAATCACATTCACCAGGACCTGTGTTTAAATAAGTGGAGTTCTAATATAATAGGACCAACACTAGGAATAGTGTTACTGTCCTCTAGTTTGGAAGTGAAGAATGTGCAAGATGCACAAAAAACAATTTTTCCAAGCAGGAAAAAAAGGTTATGATGTTCAAATGTGGTGTTCACAGTTACCAATTTAAGCCCCAAAAACACTGCCAGATATTATTGCCAACTAGTAATCTTCAGGAATATACAATTAAAATTAAAGGCCTACAAGACAGAAGTAAAATAACCACAAAGAATAACAAAGTTCTTTTCAAATTTCATTCTCTGTGGTTTCTCTACATGTCAATACTGTATGTGTCAGTGTGTCATTCTCAGCATCAGTATGTCAAATGTCTCTGTCAGACTCTTTACCAGGTTCGATGATAATATACATTCTGGGGTAATAAAGGTTTTGATAGAGTCATTGATTGATTAATTATTAATTAATCGACCTACAGTAAACTCAAATTCGCAAGGTGGTTGAGACAAGCTCAGTCTCTATTTTCTGTGTCAATTCCCTGAGGGTCTGTGTGCACATGCTGTAGGATGAAACAAGTGTGCTAGGTCTGTTGCTCTGGACTGTGGAGTTCACAGGCGGCTCTACCGTAGTGCTGGACGTCAGGCGCAGCTGGGTGATTGGACACTGGTCTGTTGCCGTGATAACGAGTGTGTATCTCCCATGACTCATCTCATAGTCCAGCTCCCTCAGTGCCACAATTGTTCCCTGAACACACACAAACATACATAACAGACACAAACAGTATACATGCAGTACATACACACACAGGAAAAGAGACAGTTAATGAGAAGAAATTGAGAGAACTGGTTCAGCCGGCGTCTCAAGACAGTGACATTTTCTTCCCCTTTTCTTTAAATTAGAATACCAGTGCGACTCATCAGGAAACTCCACAATGTCCACTCTTTTTCCATGAATTCAGTTCATCACCCACTGTCTCGGTGCTCCAGCTACACAAAGACAACCTTTGGTACTTGAAAATGTGGGATTACAGAGGAACCTTTTCCTACGATGGCAGTGAGAAGGAAATAGAGACAGGCAGAAGAACTGAGGTAGTCAGAAACAGAAAGAGATAAAGTGGCAGAGAGAGAAAGGTACTGTAGTAAGGTACTGGGAAAGAGAAAGAGACTAAGTGGTGATAGGACAGGACAAGACAGAGCCACTATGCTACTGCCTGCGAATATCGTCTATTGCTGAAGTGATGACAGAAACCCTGAGGTTAGGAGATAAAGGCCAATGTGTGAAATGTTATCATCAGACTAATTTGTGTTTTCCACATAGGAAAGTGTTTCACAGTTGTAAATGATGTAAGTGCTTTGAGCAGTGGAATTTTTCAGCACGGCCCCACTAAATACTTTGTGATATGAACTTTTTCTCCATTTCTATCTTCAACCATTTGGCTCAGAGAAGAGGTGTTAGATGTGGTCTTGCCCACCTCCCTAGTCTCACCGATCCCAATCCCCCCAGTAACCCAGTTGCTACAGTCTTTCTTATTTCAGACTAGCCCGGTCACTTATTTCCACATTTCTCCACATCCACTAAACTCACAGAGGTGCGATTGATGCTGAAAGTGTTTCCCAGGTTTCCATCAACGATTCGGTAGATCACCGTGCCATTGGGCCCCTCATCGCGGTCACTGGCATTGACAGTTGCTATGACTATGCTGGCTGTCTCTGGCCCCTCGCTGAGTGTGACCTCATACACTGGCTGCCCAAACTGGGGCGAGTTGTCATTCTCATCCAGGATGGACACCCAGATTGTGGTGGTGGCCTGAAAGAGGGCGAGACAGAGACCGAATGAAAGAGACTGAGAAACACAGAGAGAAACCCAAAACATAGGGGTTTATGGCAGGGAGGAGAGGCTTAAATATCAAACAGAACACTTGGGAAATATTATAGAAATTAAAGCAGAATATTTAATCTTACACACAGCAAAAATCCATTGTAATGTAAATGCTTATTCAAGCAGTATAAATGTCCGAGGCCAAAACATCAAATTGAGTTTAGAGTTTAGAATTGTTGCTGTTTTTTTTTAATAGCTTCTGAGAAACACAGAAATGTCAAGTCACACCCAGTCCCACCACAGACATTCACACTGACACCAGCTCTCAGGCTTTCAGGCAGCTGTTTCGAAACAGGTTGATCACTAAACCTGAACTGAAGAAGATTCTACACACTCAGATACCTCCATGATTAAATTTAGATTAGAGGCACAAGTTAGCCTCTTGGGAGGGGGTTAATAGAGAAAACATCAGGAAGTGGAAGAAAATTAATTCTAGACAGTTAGATTACCACCACATCACAACAATGGAAACACCTGTCATGACCTGGCAGATAGCAAAGTGCAACTGCTTAAGCATTCCTAACTACTGAGGGTCACTACAAGTTTCTTACATTTTTTTAAAATAACAAATTACTTCCATATTTATGTTTATGTCTGACCTTATTTTATAAGCATTCAGCAAAAAACATACTAAAGTTTACTAACGTGTATAGTTTACTAACATTTTTGTGAACAATGTAATACAAATATTTTTAGAACTTAATTTTTTGTTTGGCTTCTTGTAAACAGTGAGCTATTACGAAATATATCTTGAAACTCTGAAAATATCTTGTTTTAACATTCACCTTACTGGACAGAATTGTAACTTCACTTAAATGTTACACTCTCCATTGCCTATTTGAAATTTGAAATCGTTATATTGCTAATATAGTATGAAAACTTACGGGGAAAAAGTGTTTCATCAATCAGCGTTTAATATAAATCTACCTGTTTTTTTATTCATTTGGGAACATTCTACACAGTCTTTCCAGTACTATTAATGACGTGCGTTTTAACATTTTACTCAACCACTAAAATATACTGTTTACCTCTTTACAGTACATGTATTAATGTGTGATAATCTGCTTTTTTTAAACGTCACCTTTCGGCCTATCACTTTCGGACGATGTTCCACTTTCTAACATAACACCCGCGTACATGCTGTACTGTATATAGAACTGAGTCAGTCTTTCACAAAGGGAGGCGCTAAGTATAATGAGGTATAACAAAAAAAAAACTTTTCGGGCTTAGCAGCAGTAATGGCTCGGCCCGCCGTCAGCGTCTCAGGAGGGAGGCGTAGAGAGTAGAGAGGGAGGAGGCAGGTCGCTGGCTGTGCCCGCTTCCTGTGTCTCCTTGCCTTAACTCTGTCGCTGTTTCGGAGTAGAAGTCGAGCAGCTTCGGAGATAATCGCTGGGTATGACATCCGGATCGGAGGGGATTTAACTCAACGATTAAACAAAAACAGATCGCATTGGATTTACGGATGGGGATCCGAAGCACAATGAGCTTGGTTGGTGTCTTACGGTTCTGCGTTGCCTTGTCTGTCATAACTACGGGTAAGCAAGGAAACCCACCCAAAGACGTTTCATGTGTTTTTTTTATCACTACTGATGATCTAACTGCACTTGGCTTGCTGGTACTTGTTGCTGTGTTGTGGGAGCGGTTTGGGCAGTGGCGAGTAGATGTAGCTCATTGGTATTTATTCAATTCTGTCCTGGATTCTTAAAAACTACTATAGAGTGCTAGTTGTCTTCTGATCCAGAGGACATATATTTCCATGTTCAACATTCACTTTTAAAAAGTATTTTTAATTAGATTTAGCGTACAAGAATTGTCGGTTGCATTACCCGTGTTTTGGAAGTGGTAAATAATAAAATATGAATTCATATTTGCACGTCTTGATTGTACATAAACCGATTACAGCTGCGTGCTCACTCGAGCTCGTCGCAGCAGCTGGATCAGACAGGACTGGCTCGAAGTGATAAGGAACATCTGTTGTAATTTCCTGTTGGCCAAAAGTAGCCTGCTGCTGTTTTTGCGATCGTTTTCTTGCACAAATAAAATTTGCAATACATTTTTTTTTATTTTATATATTTTAGATTTGAGTTCTTAACAAAAAAATCAACCAAACAAACAGTTGTGATAACAAAGACCGTGAATGTTCTGAATTCCTAAGTAAACAAAATCTGGTGCTGATTTGGAAAGTTTACTTAACCTATCTGCACCCCACCCACAAGGGCACAACACCTTATCCCTTTACACCACCACCACCCCCCCCCCAACAGAAATACAGCCACTGCAGGGTGCCCCAACTGTGACAAGAAACAGCTGTTACGTCAAGGTAGCCTCTTATCAATGCATTTTAACCACCACACACTAACAAACCCTACCTGAACAAATTCTGATTCTTGGCAGTGCAGGGGTAACCAATGGTATAGCATGGAAATTCTAAGATTGACTACCCAGGTTTAGTGCAATGGTCAATGCAGTTAATGTTGGCACAGCAGGCTGTAGAACGTCTTAATCTATCCTGCAGCATAACTTTATACTTTGTCTTTTGTTGTTTGTTTTTGTCTTGGGAGTAATTTTTCTGTAGCTCAGATAGGCCTCAAACTAAGGAAACAGTAGAGAAACAGCAGAGGAAGACTTTTTTGACACACACTGAGATACACAACATGGGAAAAAACTGCATGCACAGAAGTCATGCATATTTAGCACTAAAATAGCCGATGGCATGCATTTTGACTTTGTTTTTTTATGTAACACTGTGGAGAATAAGCAGCTACCTTATTTTCATATTTCCAACTGAGTGTTAAATTTGGTGTGCAAGGTTGCATAATATTCTTTTTATTTTCTGCTGTTTGTGATGAAGCTAGCATTATGAAGTCTTCTAATTTTTTTTTCATAGAGACCTTTAACCTTTTGTCTTGTTAATAATCTCACACTGTGTTGCAAGTAGCATAGTCTTGCCTTCTACTGCTGCTCATGGGTAATCGCTGATCTTAAACCTTCGAAGAGAGTAAATACATTGTGTCTCTAATTATTTATCTCAGAAATACTTATAAAGCTCTATCTTATTATAATAATTATTATAAGATCTATCATGTAACCCTGTTGTTCTATATCAATGTACCAAGAGCAATGTTGTTTAGTAGTGATTTAAGCTGAGTCCCCACAGTTCAATATTGAGGTACCAGGAACCCTCAGAGTTCTGTATTGATGTACCAAGAATTCTCACAGTTCTGTATTGATGTACCAAGAATCTTGACTGTTCTGTATAAAGGAACATAAGAAATAAGAGCAGGTCATCCTGACCATCATGCTGGTGCATTATGTATGAACCATTTGTATGAGAGATTCCCATTAGTACATGTGCCTCGTGCATGGGGCCAAGACCTGTGTGCTGTCAGAATGTACCACGTTAAGGTTCAAGCCTCAACCGCATCTCATGTCCAGGGAGAGATTTCTCAAAGGCAGGAGTTTGAAAACACAGAGGTGGAATGAAAGGATATAAGGAGTATAACAGTGGAAATTAATATTTAATCATGATATCTCTTTATCTGTACCAGTTCCTAATAGCTTTTAACCTGATGAAACCTGAAGAAGAGGCATTTGATAGAGAGCACTGTGGATGTTACAATACCTGTGAGCAGAATGTAAGGAGACTGCAGCAAACACAAGTCTGACAGTGGTAGTGTATAGTGTAATGTTACAGCTGCAAGCCCTGTGTCATTTCAGCTCTTGCTCAATACAGGTTTATACTCAAGATAAACAGCTCTCTGAGGTTTATGAGCTAGAGTCCTTCAGGGAGTGTTTACCCGATCCCTGAACTCATACATCTGCACTGAGCTTTTGCATCTTATCTTTACACAGTTTCTGTAGAGGTTCTTGATTTTTTTCCAGTTAAACTTTTCTTCCTGGGCAGATGGAATAGGTATTGAGGGAATGTGCTACATGAATTCCTTTATGGTTTCATTTATAGTTTAGGCTAAAGCTTTTAGTGTCAGTGGATTATTGTAATTGTTCACACACAATGTCTACTAAACACATGTCACCCTGAGGTCTAAGTCAAATTCTCAGCAAGTCTGTGCCTGTTTTTCTCGTAGCAGGTGAACACAATGAAACATTAAACATCTGACTCAGGATGTAAGGATTTCCTACAGCTGTGGCCAACATACTGTATTAGACATGACCTTGGCATTGTAGATTGTGTGATTTCCATCTTGAATGATGGAAATCTGTGGCTATAGCTACATAAAAAAGACATTTTGATTTAGTAAAAGTAGGAATTATTTTTTTCTCTCCATTAAGTCTAGCATGGTACAGCATGCTTTACAACTAAGGTCCAATGTGTAGAAGCTAAATTAAACTGAAAGAAATTGAAAGGAATGTTTGTGTTGGTCCCCTGGTCTTAATCAGGGTAACTAATTGATGGGAAATACCAAGGGGTGGTGTTTTGTTATGGGGTCAAACTGATTAATAAATGACCGCAATTTCACTGTTAAGTGCTGGACGCGAATAACTTGAATATTTTATGCATTTCCTCTGTTTACATCCAATACGAACCCTGACCCTGGCCATTGTACTGTACATGTTGTGCAAATCAGAATGCAGAGGAGGCTCACAAGTTATCCAGTTCCTGAGTGCTGCTGGACTATTCAAGAGCACTTCCTTGGGAGATTCTGGCCACAGCAGTTCTTTAGCGAATTGCTGGTGTTCTCTCACCATCGGCAGACAAGTCCCTGTCTGCATCTGAGCGAACAAACGAATACGAAACCCCCTGAGTCAGCAAGAGAGACTGCTATACCACAAGTGCTGTGTCTTCATTAAATGGCAGTGGCTAGGTCCTTCTCAGCTGATTTCTCTGTCTGGTGTTCTCTGAGGGAGGTTTCAGTCACATTCACATTGACTTCCTAAACCAACCAAAGCATTTTGAGATGGTGAACCTTGTCAGTCTTGCACATCATCCTAGTGTTTACAAGGATAAGCTATTTTGAAGAGCTTCTCACAATGTAGGGCAAGGGTCAGTAATCGTGGGTCAAGTGGCTAAGAATTCTTCCAGTTTGCCTGGCCTTCCCTTCCTGTATTGTTGATCCTGTTGATCAGGATGCGAAAGAGCAGAAGAGTTTTGGGACTCCGGTACTCTACAAAGACAATGAAGCTGGCAGTATTGGTATTCTGCACTAATATTGTCGGTAATCAAACAGACTGCAGTGTTAGTGCAGAGTCAGAGTGGCAGATGTGCTCAGATATGTCTTCAGCAGAAATATAACAGATAGCAGACTCGTTGGGGGTGTAGGCAGATGAGAAATCGTAATTGAGAGATATGGTTGTGTCAACAAGGCAAGGAAATAAAGCCGGATTCATCTACCCTTAAGCCAAATGACTCATGTCCGCACAATTCCCTGACTTCAGGCTTGGATATTCCTGGGAGAGAAGCAAACACTAAGGAGGAAATGTTGAAGATTCCTGTTCTCGTTTTATATATAAATAAGCCCTGAAAAATAGCCGGCTTTGTTTTGCATGGACTGAAACAGACATCCAAAGGGCATTAGTATTTGCTTGCCCCGGACATCCCATTAGCCTGCTGAACTTCCTCAGTGGCAGCAGTGTTGAAGGAGATTTTTGACACAGCCATCCGCAGTGCGTTTCTGTCACTCCACCCCAGTTATATCACAAAGAATGTGATGGTTACAGGTGCATATCATTGTGTTTAAATCACGATCCATGAAAATATTAACTTGTGGTGTAGATTAACATAAAATCAGATTAAAAGGAATTTAAAAATTCCCCATAGCCAGGCTGTTAGTATGCTTGCACGGTTCTGTTTTAGGAAGAAACATTCCTGTAAAGAGGATCGCCTTGTAAGTGCCATTATCACCCTCTGCTCTCTCCAACAGCATGCAGCCTAGCTCCCGCAGGAAACTGCAGCTTTCAGCAGCCTAGTGATTTAGCAGAGAGGCCCCTGGAGAGCAGCTTCGTAAGAATGAATAGGAAGCAAGGACGTGCCACAACTGATTCATGCATCGCTTATTTTGTTATCATCGTTCTTATATCAAAGAACACTGAACAAAAAAAAAGAATTTACCCATTCCAGTCAAAGTATATAAGTGAAAATATATAACCATCCAATGACCCAAAGCATGTTTCTCAATTCTGCTAATTAATTATATATTATAAAACAAGATTTGGTCATCCTAGTCAGTGGCTCTCCTATCTCGTGTTTGGAGGTTAAAATAGAAAAGTTGTCATCAGGGTGATTCCAAAAAACATATTGTGGTGTTCTTTCTTATGTAAGACTCGGGTCATTTTTGACCACACAGGGAATACAATTGTGTATCTGGCTGTTTTGTCCTCCCTGGCTGAGAACAGTTGTAATTTAACTGCTGCATTCTTGTCTTGGTTGCCTGACTGTGTGATTTTGCCCTAGACTCCTTATGCTAATCATCCTGCAAACCTGCACACTGTCCAATGGCAGGAAGCTAGGTGAGCTGACCTAGAAAAAGAAAAAAGGTGTTGCTCCCCAGTGTTCAAGAGCTGCAGAAGCATCTGTGTTCTGCAAAGCTTCTTGTCTTGCTGAGGTGTTGCACTACAAAACCACAACCTATATTCATTGTCCTCTCCACGAGAGCACGGAGCCAGGGCCTAGTGTGCATTGCAGAGTTCAAGAACACTGTGCTCATGGAGGCACGGCAACTCTCTGTCAGGCAGCACAGCTCTCCCAAACAAGTCAGAAGCCCACACCCCTGCCAAACAGAAAGACAGAGGGGAAACTGCAGAAAAGTTTTCTTCCATGGGAACCTAAGAACTGCTAGGTGGTTTATTGATCAATTATTTATTAATATTTCTTGAAGGGTCCCAGTGAATCAGGTAAGCTGCACCAACACTGTATAGTAACTACATATGGTAGATGGAAAATTTAGTGTATTTCCATAAATGGAAAACTGGGTGTTGAGTGAACAGGCATACACAAAATTACACTGAATTCTAGAGTTACAATTTCCTTTCCACTTCAGTACCACTGTGAGGTTTGCACTGATAGGTGACTGCTTTTAACTGAATCCTGACAGATTATCAAAGCAAACACAGAATTTAATATTCACTCCTGGTCCCTTTCTCTCTTCTTGTCTCCTCTCCAGATGGCATATGGTCCATGACAATCTCAGCTCCTTATGAATCCTACTACTGCCCGGAAGGGGCTAATGTCACCCTGATTTGCACCTTCAAGGGGGAAGAGAATCACCTGGGGTACAGCTGGTATTTTACCCCCCATCTTGAGAAGCCGTGTGAGAAGATCCACCCACGCCAGCCGCACAACCGCACCCCCACCCACGGCCACAGCCATGGGCACGGTCATGGCCCAGGCGTGCTGTCTGGCATCAGCAAAGGCAATCTGACAGTCAGCCTGATCAACTTAACACAGCTCGACCAGGGACGCTACTGCTGCATTCTCTATGACAAGAATCAACACCACATTTTACAGCACAGCTTTGTCAGGCTCCTAATGTCTCCCAGTAAGGACTCCGCTGTTATTCCTGTTACTGACAACTAGTATGGCCTGCATTTCCTGTTATTATCAGTCAATACCATGCTTCCTGTTAGCACCATCTACCGAGAAACTCGTGCTGCTTTGATTCAATAATACCCTCTTTTGTGCTCCCATGATCAGTGGGGTGACTGTCTTTTCTTTTCACTGTTACTGCAACACTGTACCCTTACAGAGTAATTAATTCAGGTGGTTATGATAAGCACAGTTTATTTCTACAGGTGAAATTTGATGTATTTTGATGTATTATGGATGGTGTTCACCTGTTCTAATGGGCATGTTCCTTGTGCTTTTTTAGGGAACAACAACAGTCACCATTGCACCACGTATGCCAAGAGCGAAGACGGTAAGACCCACAGTCATGTCAAGAAAAGGGAATTGGATATCAAGCTGGAAGAACTAGTTTTCTTTACCAACAGCAACAACAGTAAATAAAAAACAGCAGTCTTCCAAATGACTAGAGGTCATGGGTTAGTTAGACTATGCTGTTCACAGAGTGACAGATTCAAAACTTGTTATCTTTAGACTACAAACACAGCCTGCGTAGCACGGCTACGCACATGCACGTGCCACATGCAAATGTTAGAACTTCCTTTTTCCATGTGGTTGTATGATGAGTCAGTGTGCTGTAAAAGATTAAGACAAGACTGCAGAGCGATAGCAACAGTGCAACTGTTGAGTCAGAGCAAGAGAGAGAGAAGGATCAGAGGGAGGTGAGGAAGAGAAGGGGAGAAAGATGGACAGAGAAAATGAGAAAGTCAGGAAGGAGATGGGGAGAAAAGGATGAGAAAGTGTGAAAGAAGAGGTAAGGAGGAAGATCAGAGGTGGATGAGAAAGAAAGTAAGAAAAGGCTTTAGATATGTATTTGATGGATATGTTCACTGGAGTATATACTGTATTTACTCCAGCACTTTTTTTGTACAAAACTTGGGTGCATCAAATAATACAAAGTACAGGGTTCTCCAATTTTCAGGCAAATTGAAGACATCTCAGACAGTGCCTCAATCCTTCAAGACACACAGGCTGTACTACCACATGAAAATTCTGAGTGACTAACTTTCCATGATACACCACTACGGGATGCATTAAACTGAGTGGGTGTTTCGTATAGAATTACAACCATTCGTGTGAATGGTTCCTATTCCTCATCCTGTATTTTGTCCTTTTTCGTTCCCTCCCAGGACATAAAATGGACCAGTATGAGATTAACATACTGCTGAAAACACCAGCAAGGGCATCTTTGGCTCTATGGCCGGATACTGGAAAATCTTTAGCTATTTCTACTCCCTTTCATAGTTCTCCCGCAAAAGACCTGCAGGTTTTCCTCTCTTCTCCCAAACAGGAAGCCCTCTATTCTGGCAGCCAGTCTAATTCAATTCAGATTAGCTTTATTAGCATAACTTGTGCTCTCTTTGTGTTTGTGCCAGAGCACAGAAATTTCCAATCACAACTACAGTGACATGCATATACATTATTAACAGATGGTACACAGCCCTCCCCTCTTCCTAATACGAATTTAAGAATCTCTGTCATTCTTGCAGAGATGGGCTCTCTTCTGCCTTTTCAAGTAGCCAATGTGGGATCACTATTTCTACATTTTGCTAATATGATTTCATGTTTTGTGGTCTTGAAAGCAGTGAGATATTTTGCCGGTGGGTACCTTTATTTTGGATAGCTCTACAGGTGATTTTGTGATTTTACCTTCTCACTACAGTAGCAGAGTTCAGTGTTTAGTGGGGCTCCTGATCCTGAGGGAACCTTGTGACTGCTAATTTGTAGCTTGGCCCTCTATTACCAGTGTTAGTGCCTGTAACTAATCTGATTTTTGGTTAGTTAGGCTTTTTTCTGAACTCAAAATTAGGTCAGGATACTGAACTTTATGCAGTCTCTCCCAGGTTTGCTAATTAGGACATTTTTTCGCTATTTCTGCACAGCTTTTAACAGGCAATTAGTCTATCATGAACAGACATGATTGGGATTGAGAAGCTATCAAATATTTCTGCAATGTGTCTTTGGTTTTTACTCCTGTAGAGGTCTTGTTGTTACATTTCAGGCCACAAACCTGCACAAGGAGAGTTCTGAAACTCAGGAACTAATACAGGATTGGTACCAATTATAAACCCCATAAATCTGTTTTAGAAACGAAGTACATTTTAGAAAGACATCTCAAATAGAAAAGTGAAATTGATTTAGAAACTTGAACAAAAACCAGAAGACGAAGTGGTCTCCCAGCACCTGAACTGAAAACTACTGGTGTAGTTCCTTGTTAGGGCTGATACCAGGGCTCTGTGCCAGGGCTTTCCTGAATATTAATCCTCATCTGGGAGGAGATGTTTATTGTAAGGGAGTGTGGTAATGTAATTTCACTGCCTGTGGGGGATTCCAGTCAGCGCTTGGAAGGGTCAGGAGTTTTACTGGCTTTTTTTCAGGAGTTACATTCTCTTTCCACTGCTCTTTCCATCCTCATCCTCCTCTCTCATTCTCTCTCCCTCTGTGTGTTTGGAAATCTCAGGCTCTGCTACTGCTGCTGGTCTGGCCACTGCCGCATGCATCATTGGAATCCTGGCTCTGCCACTGATCCTGCTGCTGGTGTACAAACAGAGGCAGACAGTCAACACCAACCGCCGTGAGTATCTTACACAGCTGTACAGGAGTAGAAGCACATTCCATTCCTTTACCAGAAGGCAGCAATTTAGATTAGTCAATCAAATTGAGGAAACTAGAGTACCCATTGAAAACCTGTGTGAACATGAGTGAAAACACAGACTCTACCAAAGGCTGGAAATAATGTTCAGGAGCTTTGAGGCTGCAGCACCAACATGTCACCGTGCCACCCAGAACCCTATTATTTGCCTGCAAAATAGACGCTCATAAGCATCTCATAAGATTGGACCTCTGTACATGCCTGAATCCCTCACTCACAAAAACACTCACTTTCCAACAGTTTCCATGCATAATAAACACAACAAAAGAAAAGTTGAAGTAAATCAGCCTCAGTAACCGCTCCACCCCTACCCTGGTCAGTATCTCACTTCCAGCTGTTTTTGAAATACAGAAGTTTGGATGTGCAGCACCAGTTCCTTAAAGTGGATCACAGAAGGAGGTAGCCAGTCTGTTTAAAACACGCAGCAGATGTATACATGGTTCTTGAAATTTCCCCTGACACTACTGCCCACTTCTTTTGTTATTAGACTTCTTTTGTTATTGTGAGTTGCATTTCCTGGCTCAAGAACAGTTAGAGAGGAGCCCTTTGTCTTAGAGCCAGTGGGAGTAAACGAGTGTGTGACTGAAGTCATGCAAAAATGGAGAGTACCCCAGAAGAGGTTTTAAATCTCTGACATTGTCTCTCAGCACTGACTCCTTTCTTTAAAGAGTCACGTCAAGCCTGCCACAGGCTTTTACACAACCACATGCAGGGCCTGTTGCACAATTCCTTCCCATAAAAGAACTCAAGTGTCCCCAGTTGCTACACCTTTGTTGCCAAACCCAGCCACAGCTGGGCCCTAACTGCTCGAGGAGAAGTGCTGTGGCAATACGCGACTTTGTTGTCACGCCAACAGAGCTACTGACAGCAGATTCTCCTGCACCCACTGGGAACCAGTGGCCCTGGGGACAGAGACAGCCATGAGCCTGACTCACAAACTGGCAAGCTCTCTCCGCTCGGTTCCTCCAAGGCTACCACCCAGACCATTTTATGGATCTCTTTAAATTGTGAACAGCCTGAGAAAATGGCTTTAACTACCTGAAGTTTGCAAACAGGTCAGTTACGTAAATGAGTAACTCAGGTGGGATGAGAACCAGAACAACCTTGACCCTGTTGGTCCACAACTCAGCATTCTTACTCAATGCAAAGCACTAAAACACACACAAGGCACATAACGTCTTCTGGGTCTTATTATTTTCCAGAAATGAACAAATAGAGCATAGATTCTAGTCCCCCAAGTCCCTGGAAAGCCACCTACTGGAACAGATTGTTGGGATTTTGGGGTGATTTAGGTTCAAAGATGAGGGGTGGTGGGGTGCAAAATATCCTGAAATACTACTGTTATGATTATTGTTGTCAATTTTCTGGTGGCGCTAATTTACTGAGGTTTCCCTGGTATTCCACGAGGTGGAATCGTTTTTATGTGTGTTAGTGGACTCCTCTTGGTTGCTTCGATAAAGCGGGCCTCAGTCATGGTGGTCTGTGATTACCTGTCACAAAGCTGCTTTATCAGTGACTCACACTGTGAAGGGAGAACTAATAGTTTTCTTTCTCTCTCTTGTAGGAGCCCAGGAGCTGGTGAGGATGGACAGGTGAGTGCTGAACCACTAAACGTCTTCCTCATTCTGTACCCTATGCTTCATTTCTCTCACTCTGCTTGGTTCTGTACCTTGCAAAACAGTTTATCACCTGTATAAGTATATTTTTATTAATGGTAATAAGTCATGTCATGTCATTTGCCAAACCCCTATATACTATATGGTGTCGTGGGATAATGGTAATATATTTAGATTAATTTGTATTAATGGTAATATATATATATATTACCATTCATATTAGTTATAGTGGTAGGACTTATTTTTGGTTACTCATTACATGAGCTTGAGTACAATTAATAGCTGACAAGCTTAGAATAAAACTGTATCAGCTCATTAGTAGTTAAAAAGTAGATACATTTAAAACAAAGGCAAAAACCACAAAGCACTGTGTCCCTTCTTGTCATGACTCTATACAGTGCGGCACAGGGCCATGAGAACCCAGTGTTTCTGGGGGAGTCGCCTCAGGTGAAGACACGCACGGTGTCCCAGATCATGCGACAGCAGTCAGAGACAGGCCGCCACCTGCTGTCAGAACCCGGGACACCACTGTCGCCCCCCCCAAACGGAGATGTCTTTTTCCCTTCTCAAGGTGAGCTCCTACTTTAACATGATGCTGACTGGAAGAGCCAGGCAGAGACAATGAAATAATGTTGAATGTAACCCAGCCAAGATCTCCTAAATTATCCATCCTAGTGAGGGGTGTGATCTTTAGGTCATGATTGATCAAATTCCAGAACTGATCTAACGCTTCCTGACTAGTTCAGTGGAGGTGGTCAGGTATTTACTGGAAAGCCTGTTTCACAGACAAGAGAAGGACTTGCTGATGTCTGTAATGCTTCAGCTTCTTGCAATGACTATTGAGTGTAGAGAATGATTGTAGAGAGGTGACAGAGTAGACAATGTTCTCCATTGCAAAATTCTTGGAATAGGTTAAATGCACGCTATGGCATCAGCTGTGGAGCACTTGGGGTGGGAATCTGATCGGGATTTGATTGTGGTGTTTGGGGTCATTTTTGTTTGGTTCCTTCTTTTCCGAATACAGTATCCGTTAGAAGATATGAGCCAGTGGAATTTTTTGTACTCAAGCTTCCCCTTTTTTTGGCTTGTGCATTATGTTATTTAATTCCACAGTCTCTGACCAGTTCCTCTTCTGTTTGCATCATGGCTCGATTGCATTTTCGGTGACAGTGAACATGATGGTGGTGGGTGGGACAGCTATAATTCTCCTTTAAATTGGCCATGTAAGGCCACAGAGCTTGGATCTCACACAGCCCCTGAAACTATTGTATAGAGGCTTGGGCTAATTTTAATATGAACAGAAATATTATTTTTGTGTTTTATACACATTAGAGAGAGAATGCAGTTTCAATAAATTATGGCTATGAACCTTAACTAGCTCTTACCCAATCATAATGTTATTGAAAATGAAATGGTTTTTAAAATAAATAGAATGTGTTTACATCACTGTCCCATGTACAAAAGACAGCCAATGGAAAAACATTTGGGTAGCTTGGTATCATTCGTGATGCAGGGCCTGGCAAACACACAAGGAGAAGTCTTATGCTTGCAAGTCTGGTGAGCATATTCCGGGGACAATTCTGCTTTAAGGTGTTTATGAGGCAGCTTTGAGAGAGCACTCATAATTGTTTTGCTTATCATGAAAGTTTTGCATGTGGAAATCCAGTCCCACATCCTCTTTTTAAATGAGAACACCAAGGTTAGTGGGCCACAGGTCCTTGCTGTGTATCTGTGTGCATGTTAGTGGGGGTGGCTGACACACAGAGAAGTCACAGTAAAAGCATTTCTGTTGTTTGTGGACAATTGAAGTCGTGTTGTATTTAAAAAAAGTGGCATGGTGGGGCAGTGGTCACAATGCTGCCTCACAGCACTGGAGCCCTGGGCTCAATTCCAGATCTGGCATACTGTCTGCATGGAGTTGGAGCTTGGGTTCCCTCTAGGTGCTCCCGTTTCCTCCCAAAGTCCAAAGACATGCTGCACCGGTAGGTTAATGGGCTGGTATGAGTGTGCGTGTGTCTGTATTTGCGTCTGAGTGTGTCCTGCCTTGCACTCATCTCTTGCCAGGATAGGTTGCAGCTTTCCCACAACCCTGAATTGGAAGGCACGGTGGGGAACTGGGTGACTGTATTTAAAAAGGAACTGTATGTTAAAGAAGAGAATCTGAAAAGAGAACATGAGAGTTTGGATAAGAGTCTGAATTTTAAATTTGCCCATTTTTGACTAAGCGGTGTGGCACTTGAGCCTGCAGAAGATAGTTTTGAGGGATTCTTAGCAACCTGCGATGTGCTTAACTGTGATCAAATGCTGCAATTAGGTGAGGCCCAGTACAAAAAATTAGTTGGTGTTAAGAATAAAAAACTTCAATACCCACTTCTGTATATTGTTATACTGTATATAGTGTATATTAACTGAGGATTGTTTTTCTCTTGTCTCTGTGTTTTACAGATCCCATTCCGGAGTCCCCTGACTTAATAAAAGTATAGCTGGGGAGTGGAATATGACACATGGGCATATGGGCCACAAGATTTTTCTAAAAAAACATTTTCAGCACGAGCACACTGTACGTAAAACCCCAGATTTTTCATTACCCAGAAGTCATTGTTTTTCTGGATTTTGAAAGCTATATAGATCTTGTTCTCAGACTGTCCTCAGTGCAAGGCTGTCACTGGGTTTTTACTACGTGACTCTTTTCTGTTCTCTTCCTTGCTGTGTGGCTGAAGATAACAATGGGAATAACACATTTCACACTTGCAAAAACGTCTAAAGGATAAACGGACCTTGCTTCCTTTGCACCTTGTTGCAGTGGGGACTTCTCTTTGCGTAACACTCGGTGCATTCAGACAGCACCTGCGTTGGACTGGCCCGTGATTAGCACAGCGTGAAGCTCCCAGTCATGTTTGTCTAAGTAGAACTATGTTGCATTGATCCATATGTCAGTAATGGTGGCAGTGTCATATGGCCAAATGTGCAAACAACACAATGTCTGATTAGGGCTGGGATTGTTAATTCAGTGCAAAATCCAGAGATGGGAGTTTTGTTTTTTCAGCTTTTTGTATTACGCTTGTCTCTGTTTACTTATAGACTTTGGTCTCCATTCCCCTCCTTAGCCACCCTCCTCTTTGTCTTCACTCCTCCCTCCAGCTATTTCCCTTTGTATTCTGCCATCTCTGGCAGAATTCTGCCGTTTCCTTTCTCCCTTCTTGCCCTCCAGTTCTCTCTTGCACCTCTTTTGTTGGATAGTTGGCCACGTGAGGATGGCAGTTCTCTTTATTCTGCATCACAGGACTTTGTCCATGTTTACAGACTGATAGAACACATACAGTGAAGGAACAAGTAATAGGTTTATTCCATGCTGAAAAAAAGAAGAAAGAAAACACAACGTTTCAGCCATGGAGCCTTCTTCAGGTGTGAAGCCTTCAGCCTCCATGGCGGAAACATTGTGTTTTCTTTCTTCTTTTTTTCAGCATGGAATAAACCTATTACTTGTTCCTTTGCAGCCTACGCATGCTGACGCAGCCACCGACCTGAACTACTACGCATACAGTAAATGTACATCTGTAAATGTCCAGGTCTACAGACTGATAGAATGCACAGAGCTTGGCACAGCAGTCATTTGCATCAATGGCTGGGTTTCATAGAATGTCAGTAACATGGTGTCTGTCTGTCACACCGGGGAGCTTCAAAGGGCTGTTACACAGCATTCATGCAGTTTTGCTTAAGTCAGCTATACCAGAGTGCACATGGACATTTTGACAATCTCAGAATCTATTCTTTACTGTGCCTTAAAAAGAGATTCTCACAGACTAGTCAATAGGTCTACACATCCAAGACGCAGGATGAGGTGGTTGCCAAGACACTGAGGCCGTCCCTCAGACACAGCGACACAGACATGTGCTCAGACATACACCACAAGGTGAGATATCTTCATAAGATCTGTTGCCAAGGCCCTGACTAATTGGTCTGTCACCTTCCTTCTCTGTTGCTGCTCTCTCATGCAGTTCTGATGGACTGTGCCACGCAGAGCTTTGCAGTTTTCGAGGTAACCACAACCTACAGCATGGTGGCACAATACCTCAGCCACTACCTGCTCTACCTAAAAAGCCTCCAGCTAAAGGCTTACTGAACCCTCTGGTAAAAACCACATGCAGGCATGCAGTCACAACACATCTGAAGTTGGTCCACCCTTAGTTTTGTTGTGTGCTCATTAGTTTTTTATCAATTATTTTGGATTTATTTGTAAATTCCTGTGTGCTTTTTGTTTAAAAGCATAAACACATCTCATTTACACTTTTGTGCCATTGTACAGTGTCTGATAAACACCTGGTGTCTGTTGCATCTCTGCTTGTCTTAAACGGGCAGGAAGTGAGGCTGAAGCAGGGACAGCCCCTGCAGCCTGCAGGCATGGCCGGGTAGGAGCGTCAGAGGTGAACGGGGGAGCGTCACTGCCACTGGCACTGCAATTCAGTCTTTTTCAGGCTCTATAATGTGCTGAATTCTGTTTAACCCAACGGGTGCTGGATATCAGAAGTGTATAGACCTATAAATTCAAATGTATGTACTATATTTATATTGGTTTTGTATTTCATTAGCACAGTTTGTACGAAAGCCTGCAGCTCATCAGTTCTAGAAACAGGACCATACTGCAGAGTACGAAAGGCATCTTTTCAAGCTGGGCAATAGCACTCTCTTATTGCTGGGTGACTGCAGACTGGTAGAGCAAGTAACAGTGCTGCCCAGTAGAATTGCCTGTTCTAAGACTTCCTGCTTTAGAGTAATAGTGCTGAATGTATGTGTAAATGGTGCCTGCTATTTCTGATCATGCCGAAAAATGGACTGTAAGTTGGTAAGTGCTTGTTTACAGGTTAACGACATTAAAAATAAGGTATTTGTAACCCAAGAAGCTGTTTTGATGCCATACAGACTGGCGGCACAAAGAGGGCTGTATCCAGACTGTATTTTCTGATGTGTTAATCTTCCTGCAGGAAAAGCAAATTCCAGCAAAAAGCGAATGTTACATGAGTCAAGGAGATGTCTGTATGCTGTACTGCTGAAGCTCTTCTCCACAGATTCTTTAGTTTTCATCCATGAAGGATTATGATTATGAACTTTACAGCTTTAATGAACTTCAGATGAACATTTATTGTCTTTTTCAATCGGAAGGAACAAAATAAAAAAAAGGATAGTAGGCCGTTATGTCATCGATGAACACAGCCCAGAGCCTTATTTGTTTTTATTCTGCAGTTCCCCGCTCTCTCCTTATTGTCGGCATTCTTCATAGCTGTAATGTGCTGAACCCCTTCCTGTAATAACAATTCTAGGAAGGGGTACAGCACATGGTCTACAATGGGTTTCAGCAGTACAGCAGACAGAAGCCCATGGCTGGTTAACAATAATGTTGGAGACCCACAGTCTTCAGGTTTTTTAATGAGGGCTGAATGTGCCACAATAACCCTTTGTTCTCACTAGCTACTGATTTTTAAAGGATACCCTCAGGACTGTGGTCAGCCCTCTTGTGTCAGGGGGTTATGTGTTATGTATTTGAGTGCTGGAGAGAGGAAGGTGTGTCTTTGTTTGAGTGTTCGCTTTCCTTACTACTCTATCTTCCTTATTTTTCTATGATGCTGTAAGGCAAAGGAGAGAATAGTTCTTTGTTCATATTGTTTTATGAGAGAAAAAAAGTTATTTTTATGAAGTTTATATGCATCTGTATCATTGCAGTAAACTGAAGGTATTGTTTATAAAATCCGTGTTTGTCTTCTGTCTGTAGTAGGACAGGTGCTGTGCCCTGACTGGCCCTGTCTTTACACCCCAACCTGTGTGAAAAAGTAATGTAAAGAAGAGAACAGCTTTCATTGCTTTTTGGTCAAGTCCACAGTTTGTTCCTTTTTTTCTTGCCCCAGATAGAGACTCACAGATAGAAAGACAAGACTATCTTTTCATGGGATATTGGCACCCTCCATTTCCAATGTTACTCACTCATTTATTAGGTCTATATGTATAGAGTATAGAGTGGATAGGGTTTGATAAATTAAACTACTTCTTGTACATGTTTAAGCATTCATTCATCCCAGCAGTAATTAAGATACAGGGTGTAAATAGCCAGCAGCCATATCACCCTGCAACTCACAACTGGCAGTCCACTGAAGCTAAGCAGGTGTGAGCCTGGTCAGTACCTGGATGTGAGACCTCCTGGGAAAAACTAAGGTTGCTGCTGGAAGACGTGTTAGTGGTGCCAGCAGGGGGCTCTCACCCTGCGGTCCATGTGGGTCCTAATGCCCCAGTATTGTGACGGGGACACTATACTGTAAACAGGCGCCATCCTTTGGCTGAGACGTAAAACTGAGGTCCTGACTCTCTGTGGTCATTAAAAATCCCAGGGCGTTTCTCGAAGAGAGTAGGGGTGTAACCCCGGTGTCCAGGCCAAATTTCCCCCTGGCCCTTACCAATCATGGCCTCCTAACAATCCCCCTTTCTGAATTGGCTATATTACTCTGCTCTCCTCCCCACTGATATCTGATGTGTGGTGAGCGTTCTGGCGCACTATGGCTGCCGTCGCATCATCCAGGTGGATGCTGCACATTGGTGGTGGTGGAGGGGAGTCCCTATTACCTGTAAAGCGCTTTGAGTGGAGTGTCCAGAAAAGCGCTATATAAGTGTAAGCAATTATTATTATTAAATAGCTTATTTAGGCATCTGTTATCTTAGCATAGCAAAGCCCAGCCCAGTATGATTAGCTTGAACATTTTTAAAATAGCTTGCAGAAAATGGGGCATCATTTTTCATGTCTAGTGAATCTTAGGAAAAAAAGCACTTTGTGTGTTTGTTCTGTTTTATTCCCTCCAGTGCAAAATTTGTTCTTCAGTTTGTGGAAGTACAAAATCCTTGCGACACCCACAAAAATGAAAGAGTAGGCATTTAAAAGGAGGAAGTGAGTCAGTATTCCTACGTGTGTGTTTGTGCCAACATGAGAAGAGGAACACTTGGGTTGCCCTCCATTCTGGGATCCACTGTCTCTCTTATGCTCCTGGCCATACTGGAGACATGGTGAAATACACTGAAATAAACATTTATTCACCACTGTATGGCGCCTGACTGGCCCGATTCCCATCATGCAACAATAAATGTATGGATTTGGCTTACAAATGAAAGTAAGTCCGCTTGACTGCCATCAGCGGTTCAGTTTGTCAATAGCACAGGTGAGAGAGAGAGACTGCACGAGTCGATGCACGTCACCTGACCTTTGTGACATATTGGCATGAAGACGGAACGTTCTTTTTGGAAGCAGCAGGAGTTTCGAAACAGATCTGATGCACGAGAGTGTTACTTCCTTTTTTCGCAGAAAAGGCACCTTTGTGGTTTTCCTGTTTTCAAAAGAGGCCATGCTGGCTGTCGGCACAGTGTTAATAGTGCAGAAGTGAGGCAGCCATGTCAAATTTGCAAAATCAGTGGCACAATCAGATTTTTCACTGGTGTATTAACCTCTGTGCTTTCTGACTACATCCACATGTGTTGTAATAATATCTCAACTTTATAGCTAGAAAATTTGAATTTTAGAACTTGTATTGTATATTAACTAAAAAGCATGAACAAAATCTGCAGTGCTTGATTTTTTGGCTGTTTTTTAGAAAAGCAGAAATTGTCAATTTTTGCAATCCACTAAGATGAAATTTAAAGCGCTTGTGAAGTCCTCAAGGAAGTCTGATAAAAGCTTGAAAGATTTGTGCTGATACTGTTGCAATACACAGCGTGTAGTATAAAGACACATTTTTCCAATATTTGCTTTCTGACAACATATCTGTCCCTCTTTCAGAACAAGATCTAAGGCAGTCTCTTGAAAAAACGTAAAAAGTCTTGAACCTGCCGTTTATAATTCTGCAGTACTTGTCTGAGTGAGCGGTGGTTTTGAAACTTGCAAGTGCTTATGAAATCAGCTTGGTTTCTTGCAGCAAAATGTGCAAAACTTGGATTGAACAAGGAGATGTCAGGACAGAAAAGCAGAACTGACTCACACTCCAGGGAAAACCTCATCAAAAAGGAAAGGGACTTAGCTTGTGTTCAGTTAATATTGGAGCCAATGTCACTGTGTCTCATTTTTACGCAATCACCTTTAGTACATATAAAAATCTGCTTGTATTTTAGAAACTAAAGCTAGAAATTTCATCCCTTTATATATCCTGTGACTTAAGTGATTCAGATCCTTCAGTCTGTTATTACAGTAAAAAAATATGTTACTCTTGCCTCATACAATCTTCAATACGTGGTAAAGCCTTGAAACTAAAAAAAATGATTAAAGAATGTGATTTTAAACATTGAAGCTTTTACTATAAATAAGGCTTGAGTCAGTTGTGCACAGTCTCTGCCCACTCAATGTAATTATAATTAAATACAAATAAATAATTTTATAGGGAACAAATTGTACAACCTCAAAGTTAAATTTAGCCAAAACATCTGCAGGGTTACCTCTCCTACTCCTGTAAGAGTGATATGGAACATTTAATGACCACAAGTAGTCGGGTCCTCTTAATCTGAAAGATGGTACCTCCTACAGTATACCAGACTGTTCCCAGTTTCTATACTGGGGCACAGGTTTGGAAATTCTGGTCCAAAATGAAGGGTGTCGCTTACTTGTCCATTAACACCACATACAGCAAGAACATGATTTTCCATAGAGTTCTATCCCAGTTATAAACAATCCCAACCTTGCTTAATGTCTGAGATCTGATGAGTCAGGATAGAAGGTGGTAATCCTGCAGTCAATGTACTATGTGAACATGCAGCTTCCACTCTATATACTGTAGATACAAATACTGAAGCATAAATACAACAAAATCATAAAAGGGATACTTCTCTACTTCACCCTATCAATCGAGCCAGTAAAGTAAGAGTGAGATATTGCCTGACAGTACAGATACAATTACAGTCTGTCTCGGCTAAGGCTTGTGTGTTTTAGACTTCAAACTGATTTGTGCAACAGGCTGTAGTATATCCTGTGAAAATATATGCTTTGCCTCTGTTAATCCAGCAGAGTCACAAGCGAAATCTGTAAGTTTTGCTTTGTGATCAGGGTAGCCCCTCCTGCCCCAGCGTCTCACCGAGAGGGGAGGAGTGCCGTCGTCCTCAACGGTGACGGACAGCCGGTAGGTCTGCTGCCGCTCGCGGTCAGGGGGTGAGGGTCGGGTGACTACCTCCCCGGTGACTCTGTCCATGCGGAAGGTGAGGTCCTCATTTCCCTGGGTGATGTAGTAGAATAGCATGCCATTGGAGCCAATGTCACGGTCCGTGGCTTGAACCCGCATCACTGCAGTTCCTCCGCCCACATTCTGCAGGAACACCAGCTGGAGTTTAGCATAGACGGACAGCAGAACACAGGTAGCATGGCTAGGCAGCCTGCTTTACAAGTAGACAGGCAGACATATGGACAGACAAGCATGCAGTTATATAGATATACAGATTCTTAAGCAGTGAGTGGGAACTTCTCTATTAACACCTATTAAAAACTCTCTATTAGCTGCCCAGTCAAAATCAAAATCCCTACCTTGCTCCTCCCCTACCCTGCCTTTTACCTCCAGTCTCAAACTATCATTTTCTTCTCCGTCACCCCTGTGTCTCAACTGAATGCCGCCTTACTGCCCTCTCCCCTGTCTTCTCCCTCACCTCGCTGATGCTGACATTGTAGCCTCTTGAACTCTGGATTATTGGTGCGTTGTCATTCACATCCAAGATGTTGATGGTGAGGGCGCGGTCAGTGTGACGTGGGGGAGAGCCGTTGTCCACTGCCCGGACCTGATCAGAGACAGAGAAAAAGATCAGTCCTGTCACAGGTGCAGTAAGCAGGTGTTGATCCGTGTGCTGAGGTACTAAGAAGGTGTGGGTGGGAAGAGTGCCATACCACCAGCAAATAGCGATCGATGGTCTCTCGGTCAAGCGGTGATACCACAAAGACCTCCCCATACGTGTTATTAGTGGTGTGGATCTCGAACACTTCTCTAATATTCCCTGCCACCAGTGTGAAATTCACCTGAAATAGAGAGGGAGGGAGGTAGGAGGAGGAGAGGTGATACATGTAGAGACAGACAGGTGGAGAGCCAGAGAGAGTGGAGTAAGAAAGGAGAGACACAAGCAGATAAAAAAGGAGAGAAAATCAACATAGTTAACCAATGTCTTTCTCTGTGTTGATCCACTTGTCGTCCTGTCAGTCAGTCTGTCTCTCTGTCTCTCCCAGTCTTTGTCAATTATTCTCTCTGCCTTCCCCCTCGCTTGTCTGTCGGTCAGACTGTCCATCCCTGTCCTTACCAGTCCATTCTTTCCAGCGTCCCTGTCTCTCCCCAGCACCACAGCCACCCTTCTCCCACGGGGTGTGTTCTCTGGCACGTCCACTGATGAATCAGATGTGATATCAAACTCGGGGCTATTGTCATTCTCATCCAGGATGGTGATTGACACCTGTTTGTAACCCAAACACCCGATGAGACAGAAATAGAGTAACAGACAGAGACATGCAGAGTTAAATAGAAGATAACTTGGATAACTCTGTTTCCCTTACCTAACCCATTGCTTCATATTACTCTGTTCCTATCTCTCGAACATGCCTGAAGAAAACTCCACAGCTGAAACATTGCATTTCTTTTATTTCTTTTTCAATATCGAATAAACTTCGACTTGCTCCCATACCATGAACATTCGGACCCAGCTCTCTGCTCTGACCCCACAAGACCTTATTAAACCTTACACCTTACTTGTAGAGAGAGGGAGAAAGAGATGTTACCTTCTGTAATTCCAAGCAGAAAGCAAAAAAAAAAAGAAATACATGGTTTAAGATTCCTCGCAAATGAGCCCTTCATTACAAAGTTAAAAATACTGCTTAATACAGTATGATGATTTTGGGAACCACTCTCAGCTTAGTTGATGAGACATAAAATGACCAATAATACCTTGACAAATATGTGTTACTATTCAATATATTTTTATCTGATAAACATAAAGAATCTGGTTTGGGCTGCTGCCACTAGACTTTGGGGGACCATTCAGATTGTTTTTGTGTCTAAACTTAGACAGTGTTGGGAGGGAGTCAGAGGAGAGGAACCTGTGTCCGAAGTCTTACCACAGTTGAGTCCTTCTTGGGTCCTCCATCATCAGCCACAACTGTTAGTGTGTAAACATCCCCCTTCTCCCGGTCCAGCTGGCCCATCACTGTGATACGACCCTGAGAACAAAAATTACACGCAGAGTTCATACAGTGTATTGTGTAATATAGCTCTGAGAATACAGACATAACATGACAAAATACACAAAACGTTTTCTTCCCATGTGTTACTAGACTGCTGCTTAAACTACCGTGAAAAAATACAAAATTGTTTGCTTGTTTCATCTTTTCATGATCTATGCACTCTTACATAAAGGCCGTTTGATTAGTTAAGGTTTACTGATGTACTCCAGAGATGGTGTTGACTCACAGTGACGCTGTCTATCTTGAAGAGTGCCAGGGCGAGTGGGGAGGTGTCTGGGTCGAAGCGGTAGGTTATCTGATTGAGGTTGTCAGCGGAGCGGGCGCGGACTTGCAGCACCTCAGTTCCCGTGGCGATGTTCTCAAGCAGTGCAGCCTCATAGGTGGGCTGGGAGAAGGCCACAGCTTCGTCCAGCTCATTGAGCAGTGTGACGTAAACGCTGCAGAACCCCCGGTGGAAGGGTGGGGCCTGGTCTGTGGCTGACACGTTCATCAGGTAGCTGGTCCGTGTCTCATAGTCCAGGTAGTCCACAGTGGTCACCAGGCCTGTGCTCACGTCAATCTCGAACTTCCTGTCTGCCCCTGACACAATGCTATAGGCCACTGCACCCCCATCACCTTAAGGTAGAGAAGATGCAAACATGCAGATGATGTATTATTGAATATGCTCACTTCCTACAAAGGTTAAGATCTATAACGCAGACAGTCTTTCTACAGTCTTTCAAAGCCTTTTCTTTGACATTGGCCCTGCATTCTCCATTACTCAGTGGGCAAAGCATTGCTAGGGATGGGTGGGCTTGAGTTGGCAAGAGTATCTTCTGCTTCCTGCTCTACAGAAGCTGTTGTAAACTGCTGGGAGCCTTTGAGCTTGCAGCTGTTTCAGGAAAATGCGCATCTCACTTCCAATAGATGCTAACTCTCCTGTTTCCTGTCACTCATTAGCAGAAATGTAAAATGTTAATTACATTAGATCTACCTTCTCAAAACCTTTTATTAATCATTTTCCCCATTTTAATATAGAAGAGCGGAGTCCTCAGTACTGCGTACCCATGTCGCGGTCGGTTGCACGGACCACGATCACAGAGGTGCCAATGCCTGCTGTTTCTCTCAAGCCCAGGCGGTTATACTGTTGTTGGGTGAACACGGGTGCCTCGTCATTGGCATCCTCCACATACACTATGACCTGGCAGAGAGGACCCAGTTAGCAAGGCACACAGATAATGACTGAGCCACACGTACATCTGTAACATTAAGGGAACCTCCCACTGACTCTTATTCTATTTTTATTTACTATTCTGAACTCCACTACATAAGGTAAAAGTAGATTCTAACCAAATGTTGCACTTTTGGATTTATTAGAAAGTAGGGACATCTCCTCAGTTTCTCAGATCCTGCCCCTCATTGGTAGTAATACAGGCCTTCCCACTACCACATACACCATTCACTATTCTTGTAGGTAGTAGCTGGCTTTTAATGCTCATAATATTTGAAGATAAAAAATCCTTGACCTGTACTGAATCTGAATGGAATGGCTTTTCTCCCAGATTTCAACTTATAAAAATGGTACATTACATCATTCCTTAACAGAAGCAAGAATAATTAATATATACATCTATAACTTCCAACATACATAGTTGAAAATGTGTGAGTGGGAAGGCTTAATGTCATTTTAAAAACTGTGCCATATATTAATGATATACTGTACAATGCTGATGACCCTACTTTCCACATACAACACATCTGGCTAAACCTGTATCCCCAGCCCCTCCCAAAACTATGCATTTTACCCGGACAGAGCTCCTCATGCGGCCCAGATCACTGTTGTAGGCCTCCACCTCCAGCACATGGGAGCTGCTAGTCTCTCGGTCCAGGGGGCGCTGTCCACGTGTCACAAGGCCTGTGCCCTCACTGATATTGAAGATGTTGTTGCTGTTGCCTAGGAGAGAGAAGACAGGGGTGGAATTTCAACAACATACAATGCGCTGCAGGGTCAGCACATTGATACAACTCTTTCCATCAGGAGAAAACAGCCCCCTAACAAGAAAACAATAACAACACAAACTTGAAATTATTTAACAAGAAATGACTCCAATAACTCAATCACTGTGATCTCTCACTGATATCTCAGTCATAAATGAGAAACAGATGCTCCATCTGCTCCTCTCATACTAGGCCCTAATCTCTCTCCCGTGCCTCAATATTTCCACTGCTGCATACAGATCTATTATTTTCTGCCACAACAACAGATGTACTGCATAATAGCAAAGATGAATTTAGAGAGCACATCAAAGTGCATACAGAGTATAGAAATAAAGTAATTAAAATAATAAGTATAAAATTTGGTCTCAGCCAATGGCCAGGACACAGTTCCTTCTTGGATAAGAGAGCACAGTGACTACTATTCTGCAGTTGTTACAAAGACAGCTGGATTCTCCTACTATCATAAGTAGTAAGGTTTGCATTCGTTCCTCATTTTATGGTTATTTATTTTCATAGCGCTTGTCGGTAGAATCTATTTCCCCAGAGAACCCTTGATGAAGAGCAATGCAATCTGCTGGCTGCCTGCACTTGGTTGCACACGGAGATTATGAGGCAGGTGAAGCTCACCAGACAGGATTCGGTACAGCACCCTGCCGTTCTCTCCTTCGTCGGCGTCTGTGGCTTGCACCTGCAATCACAGACACACACAGTCTTGGTTTTGGCCTCTCGGTTACCTCGGACTGTGAAGGGAAATAAACAGCACGGCTCATGTTTCTTGTTCATGAAATGAACAACATAAAGTCCTCATTCGTTTTCATTAGGCCCAGCTCACACAGCTGTGCTCCGCCACTGAATTTCAAAATCCAGACAAAACCTTGTTAATTTACACAACATTCACCCTGTTTACTGGAGAGGATAGTATATCAAAAACTTTTTCCCTTCATGAGTCAATGAAAAATAACTGGTTTCAAGCTGCAGGGCAGTCTGTTTTTAAAATAACTCTAAACAGCTCACCGCAGTATATCTCATAAGATCAGTTAATAATACAGTACTTGTTATTTTACTTTCAATTTTATCAAGTTAATATTTATTTATTATGATTTAAATTGATATTACTCAGGCATCATAAAACACAACATAAAATCTGTTGCACGAGCAGTTTATTATACACTCCTGGCAGCTTGACAACGAACTAATCTCTGCTTAAAACAGCAACTGCAAATAAACATACAGTAACTGCCAAAAACAACTGCCTGGACATACTCAAGACAAACTTGATCGAACCAAACAATGAACCATGGACAAAACATCTCATTTTGGATGTAGGATCTAAATATTCACAGCTCACTAGGAAAGTGCGTTTGCAACTACATATTTACAGTATATGAATCTTGATTCTCTGCCCTTGTTAAAATAAAAAAAACATAAAAAAAAACTAGGTGCAAAGCAAAAAATCAGATCTTGTCTTTCTGACATTGCATATTCAAGACAAATGTAGGTTGCAAAACAAACATGCATAAGTGAGCCACTGGAATGATTACTTTTGTGTTATTGAAGTATATTTAATTATAATCTATTTGCTTAATATTTCCTGTTTCTAGATATTATTTAAATGTTAAAGTTTTGTAATTGTAAAGATTTTAATGAGCAGTCATTTGTTGTACATCATATTTAAGCCAACATTAAGTTTTAATATTATTTGGAATTATTATTTTGAAGCAGCAAAAGTTAAATGTTGATACAATTGTTGCAACTAGTTGCATTTCATTGGGGTTCGTGTACTTTAATTACGAGCAAGTTGATTCATATCTGATTTATTGTAACATTAAATACTGAAAAAAATATAGAGGCACACTTTAGTGTAAATCTTTAAACTGAAGTATATGTCTTACAAAAGTTTAAAAAAACCTTGTCCTGTGAGAAGGTCTATAAAAAGCCTTTTGAAAATCTGAATATTGCGTGCTCCATTTGTATCTTTAACCAGTCCTGCTTGTTCAAATCCTCTACCAAGTTTGTAAAACGAGACCCAGCATTTCTAAATCTTGGAATGGATGCAACATTATTTCTTATGTTTCTTAGTAATGATGCTGAAGTAATGCCTACTGAGTCTCTACAAGGGATATAGAGAGTTAGTGAATTGACAGTTCCTGTTAGCGGAAGTGAAATTAAACCCTTGACATATTTTATTTAAATAATCTCTGTTACCTGTGTTATTTTTTACCCCGTGTTGTTATTTGAAGCTCATGTTAAGTTTATCACAAGGTTATTTGTGATGTTTTTTTTACAGTATAAGAAAACATTGCCTTGTTTAGGTCCTTAAACTATCTGATGCTGAAGAATTGCTATTTGTGTTAATAATGTCAAGA